AAACTCTCATTATTTCATTGGTCCCAGATAGAGAAAGAAGTGTTTGCTAAGCACTATTTATTTATTATCACTTTTTAACATAGACATATTTTTGTGCTATTGTACAAGACAAATCATTTTTTCAATTTTTATTAGAATATGTAAAATATTTTTATTTACTTTGATCTCATATTAGAGTCTTTTATCTGTTATATCATTTTGTATTTACAGAGACTGAAAACTTTAATTAAGTAGTAGTGCTATAGAAATTCAAGATTTGAGTGATATTTGCTCTATCGGGAGTCTGTTATCAGCATTTGATATGGAAGATGTGGGCTAATCTATTAAATGCAATAATTTCACCTTGTTAGGCAATCTTTTGCCATAACTACTTATTTGAGAAAATAATGAATCCAAAGGGCTCCTTTCTCCTCTTGCCCTTAACCATGATTTGTCCTTAGTCTTGGTTAAAATTTATAAGGTTCCCATTATTTAAAAAAATAAAGACAATATGTGCATTTAAAAAAATAAAAATCCTAGGACCTTACTTTATGAAAGGCTTTTTTTCCCCCCAAGACATAGGTAAAGCAAGGAGGTAGATTTTTGTGTATTTTAAGAATTTTTTGGCTTTTTGTGTGTGTGGTGGGCATCACATTTACACCTCAATTTTATTTTTTTCTATAAAACATTACAGATATATTTGAAATCATCCTTCAGAAAACCAAAGCAAGAAATTCATGTTTCCTGAAAATGTTTTATTTTTGAGATGCTTGTGGCTGTTTCCCAATCCAAGTTGGGTTTTTTTTTTTAATTGTAGTGGTTTTTTTTTCCAATATCTTTATTTTAATGTGGTGCTGAGACTCGAACCCAGTGCCTCATGCATAGTAGGCGATCATGCTACCACTTTAGCCATATCCCAGCCCCAAGTTGGGTTCTTAATATCTTTAAGAAAACCAACTTAGCCTGGAGAGATAAAAGTTAACTTCACTTTAGGACTGTGAACCAGTCCTATGTTAGTGGTGACTTTGTGAAAATATGGGAATAACAAATTTGGTTTCTTCTATATTTTCACAACACAAAAATACTTCTGTGACTTTATATGTGTGTGGGGTTTCCCACAACACCAGTGTAGTCCTTCAGCAAACACTGAGCACCTACTAAAGACCAACTGGGTGTATTCTATTTCAGTTCAGTTCTGATGCTGTCCTCCTGGACACAGCATCAGTTCCCACATGTTGAGGCCCCCAAGACTGTCCCCATCCCAATTTTAGATGCCAATCACAAGCTCAAGGTTGTAGGTTATTTTAGCTGTGCTTCTGACAGACTCTAAATTGAGATTCCCACAACCCCCTTCTTGCATCTAATTAATATGCTAGAGTGTCTCATTGAACTCAGGGAAATATATTTCCCAGCTTATTATAAAATATATTACAGGGCTGGGGATGTGGCTCAAGTGGTAGCGCGCTCGCCTGGCATGCGTGTGGCCCGGGTTCGATCCTCAGCACCACATATAAACAAAGATAGTGTCCACCGAAAAACTAAAAATATTTTAAAAAATTCTCTCTTTCTCTCTCTCTCTCTTTAAAAAAAATAAAATATATTACAAATGATCCATATTAAAAGGTGAATAAGGGAAGATGTAGGAAAAGGGGCACCAAGCTTGACTACGTAGGCATTATTGATTAAATCGTTGGCTGTTGGTGATTGACTTAACCTCACTCCCTCTCCAGTCTTCAGAGATTTGGGACTGGAGCTGAAAGTCCCAATTCTCTGAATTCTGCCTTAGTATTTCTGGTGACCACACCCTGAAGTCATGTGTCAACCATTAGTATACAGAAAGATATTTGTCAGTTTGAAGGTTCCAAGGATTTGGGGAGTTGTATCCCAGGAAATGGGAACAGGGCCAAACACATATTTCACAATATTACTTCAGATAACTGACTAATATCCATCTATCCCTTCTTTCCTTCTTTCCTTCCTTTCTTTTTCTTTTTTTGTTATGGTACTGAGGATTGAACCTGGGGTACTCTACTACTGAGGTATATCCCTAGCACCCCCACCCTTTTTTTGAGATAGTGTCTTACTAAGTTGCCCAGGCTGGCCAAGAACTTGTGACTTCTTGCCTTTGCCCTGGAGTAGCTAGGTTTATAGGAGTGCACCACCATACCTGGATTACTGCCCAATATTTCTGTGCCTCTGTTTTTCCATCCATAAAATGTGTTTTAGTAGGTTCTCAATGTTTGTTGAATGAGTGAGGGAATGGATGAATGAATAATAACCAATACTTACTGAGTGCTAACCGTGAACTCAACATTTAAGTTCATTTTCTCATTTAAGCCCTATGAAGCAGATGTTGTTATTAACTGTAATTTTAAAAGGAGAAACTTAAGTTTAATTAACTTGCCCCACATCACCAGCTAGCAATGTGTGACATTTTAATCCAGGCTTTCTAACCTGTGCCATGTTCTTAAACATGCCATGTCTAAGCTTCCCCCTGGCTTCCAGAAGAGAAAGTCAGCTAAAGGCAACTGGCAATATTCCAGCAGTCTTTTGCCTGGTGAACTTGAGTCTGTGACTTGTATAGTCACATCACGTGGAAAAGGAACTCAACAGGGCTGGAATCTCTCACCATGTGATCTTGGATGAGGAAACTCTTATCTTTTGTGTATTGAAGAGTACATAACTAAGGTCCTTCCAAACCAAAGAGACAAAGTAATTGACCTCAAAGTATGTACTACCCTTTGACCCCTTTGGGGGCAAACAAGGGGCATGGAGCTAAGAATTACTGCTCTTGTACAGAAATCTAACATTCTCAAAGAGAAATTTGAGTCCTGTGAAACAAATGGCCAATGGATGCTGCAGAATGAGATGTCCATGCTCCACTGTTGTTAACTGAAGGCACAGATGGTAATATTATTAATATTTAGAATGTATATGCATGGACATTGAGATTGAGTTTATGTAACTCTGAAAAACTTTTATTTCATTTAGCAAACAGCCAGTGCCACATAGTGACCTGGCTATGCGGCATTTGAAATGAGATTTTGGGTTTTTTTCTTTTTTTTTTAAAAAAAAAACAAAACATTTTTTTGTTTTTAAGAGAGAGTGAGAGAGTGAGAGAGGAGAGAGAGGAGAGAGAGAGAGAGAATTTTTAATATTTATTTTTTAGTTGGCGGACACAACATCTTTGTTGGTATGTGGTGCTGAGGATGGAACCCGGGCCGCGCGGCCGCTTGAGCCACATCCCCAGCCCCTTGGGGTTTTTTTCTATGGTTTAGAAATGTTCCGTATTTTGGAATAATACTTATTATATAGGGAACACATTCTAAGACATTAATGGAACATTTTTATAAAGCTGCAGAGTGACTCCATTAACTCTGTGTTAAGGGTCACTTGTACGTCTCCAAAATGGAGCTGCGGCTATATGTGTGAAAAGCCAAGGGAAACTCCCAACCGATGGGTCCCATGTGAGAAGCAGTACAACTTAGTCAGAGTATATCTTCACTAATCTACTTTTAAAATGCCTCTTTAAAAACAAAGATTGGCCAAGAGGAGTAGAACAGAGAAGCTATCCCAAATGAGCAAAGAGGTTGAGGTAGTTAGGGAGTAGAGAACTGGAAAGAAAACGGAGGAATTGCAATTTCTGAGTGTTTTCTTACCTAAGATCATCCATCTAAAAGTATTTAATGCATCATGAACTCTTACAAGTACTTATTGAAATACATAAGGTATTTTATGTCCTTTTGCCCTCTGCCCTTCAAAACAACAGCAACACAAATTGTGTTAAGACTGGTACAAGCCAGTAGGCAGCAAAAATATTCTTGTTAATTTTGGAAGCCAACAATATGTCATCTTACAGGACAGAGTGCTGTTTTACTGGTTCTCTGAACATATCCTATGATGTCTGAGTATTGGATAATATAGTACCTTTCTGGCTTAACTGAGCATTTTCTTGCTTTCTTTGGTGTCTGTCAAAATAAATATTCTAATGTTGATGTATATAAATATTAAAAAACTTAATGGTTAATAATGGAAAAATTAAAGATGCATTAAATATTTTTAGAACTCCAAGCAAAGCATACATAAGTTTTTAAAAATTTTCAATAGGGACTTCTAAAGTTTTTAGATTAGAGAGAAGTTTTTTTGTTTGTTTGTTTCCAATAGTGGGGATTGAACCCAGAGGCACTCTATTAAATGACCTACATCCCTAACCCTTTATTTATTTATTTTTTTATCTTGAGACAGAGTCTTGCTTAAGTTGCCCACACTGGCCTTAAACCTGCAATTTTTCTGCTGTGGCCTCCCAAATAGGTGGGATTATAGGCATGTGCCACCATACCTGGCTGAGAGATGTTTTAAGATGGATTATAGGCATGTGTCAACATGCCTGGCTGAGAGATATGAAAAAATAGAAAGGATTAGCTCTGAAGAAATTTGTAAAACTGTTAAAAAACAATTAATGGCATTAAATTGTTAACTCACTAAATGGAGTGCCATAAACATGTACCAATGAATGTTTATGGTGTCTTGGCAAATTACTTGTATTTACTAAGGAGCACTTTTCCTTGTGTAAAAAATCTAAACTATACTTTAACAATTTAAAATACATTTATAACATACATATTGAAGATACTATGTTCATGGAATCAAAATTTAAGACAATGTCTAAATGCTTAGTTATATGATGTTTATTAGGAAAAGTTGAAAAGATGATAATAAAATTGTGTGGTACACTTTAAGCCAATATTAATATTAATACACTCAAGAATGAGAACAAACAGAATTCTTCCTTATAATACCAGATAGGCAAAGATCATCTTTCTTCCTCTCTACTGGCTATCTTATTTCCTTGTTAAACTTAAAAGAAACTTTTTAAAGAATTTCAAGATATTGAAACATCTAGATTAATTGAACATTCTGAGTAACAACAAAAGAAATTGCCACACATATGAACCTTTTATTTCTGAGTTACATTTCAAAGAAATAGAATTATGATGATCTTAATATTAAGACTAAATCAAGTGCTTGCTTCGGCAACATAGGTACTAAAATTGGAATGATTCAGAGATTACCATAGCCCCCACACAAGGATGACATGCAAATTCATAAAGCATTCCATATTTAAAAAAAGAATAGCCTAAATGAAACATGATTTTACTGTTCTGTCGTTCAGAAGGCACCTTCTTTGTACAGATTCTTAGGGCCTTCCACAGGAACCTAAGTTATCATTATCTATGACTACTAACAGTTCTGGTTATTTAGGTCTTATTAAAGAGAAGCTTATGGTATTGGCTTTGATTCTACTTTTGACTTCATATGCCTTCAGTGAAATAATTCAGAAATTCTCAAGTCTTATTATAGTACAGTAGTTCCTTCTTTGGCCAAATATTTTCTCTAAAACTAAAAGTCACAATAACTTATGTCCTATTTACTAATTTAATTCTGATTTAATACACTATATTAACTAAAATTATATTCATTTTAATATATAATAATACTACACATATTAAATGAGAACTAAAAGTTTCTACCTGATCTATCTGTATGTTTTGCTATCATGTAAATCAATGTGAAGTCACATTCATAATGCATATGATTGGATTTTGCTTTGAAGTTAAGAGTCAAATTTAATTGGAAGATGAGTGACGTGAGCACATCATTTTGAACTTTTCAGTTTTTGAAAATATGTATCATATATTACTGTTTTGAAAGAAAACAAATGATTAGCATTTTATTAGGTTAGGGTAGAGGCAATATTATTCTATTAGTTTTACCACAGGTAAGATGGTTTATTTTAAAAAGTATCTTGCAGAGTTGAATTATAATTTTATTTAATTCTCTTTTATAGCTTTTTCCTGGTAACATAATTTGACTTTAAGTTATACTAAAATTTGACTATATATAAAAGAGATTAAAGTTGTAATCATCCATTTTATGAGAACATTATGACTAATATTACAGAACCCTGAAAAAAATCCTGTAATGTTTTGAAAAAAGTACAAACATGTAATAAATAAAAAACCAAAAACTTACATTTAGGAAAATGCACTTAGAGACCAGTTTCACAGTGGTCCTATTAAGAGAGTTGACATTTCCCATATTGGAATACGTAGAAAACAGGTGCATAGCTGCAGGGAAGTTTATTTTCCAAGCTGACATAATAAAACCACAATGTATCCATTTATATTTTATTCACGGGAAGATACAGGACATGTATATTATTGTTAAGTTTAGGACAAAAGGAAAAACCAACAATTCAGTGGAATTATAAAGGCTAAATAATTTTAGATACTTGATTTTTGTACTAGGAGTTGAGATTTGGAAAATGATGACATTTTATTTTATTTATTTAAATTTTGCTGTTTGGGGGAATGAATCTAGGGCCTTGTACATGGTAAGCAAGTACTCTACTACCAAGCTATATGCCCAATTTTTTTTTTTTTTTTTTTTTTTTTGTAGTGCTGGGGATTGAACCCAGGGACTTGTGCATACAAGGCAACCAGTTTACTAACTGGGCTATATTCCCAGCCCATGCCCAGCCCTTTCTACTCTTAATTTTGAGGTAGGGTCTCACTGAGTTGCCCAGCCTGGCTTCAAACATGCCATTCTCCTGCCTCAGCTTTCTGAGCAGCTGGGATTACAGGCGAGTGCCACAGTACTCAGCAACATCAATTGTTTGTATTGGTGGCTGGGCAGCCTAAGAAAGGGCAATCCTGTAATTCTTAGTTATGTCTCTAAATTTATTAAAGATTTTTTGATAAAAATATTATACTGACTTCATCAATGAGATGACTTTGTAAGAAAACTTCCCATATCTTCCTAGTAAGTCTGGCTTGCTTCTGAATGTTTAGTACATATATATCATTGAAGCAGTGTACTTTTTTATTGAGGTTTAGCATGAGCAAACATTTTGCATGATTTATCTCACTCAATCCACATAAAAATTTTATAAAAACATCTTTATTTTTTAATTGATTTTTTTTAAAAAATAAATGACAGTGGAATGCATTACAATTCTTATTACACATATACAGCACAATTTTTCATATATCTGGTTTATAAAAACATCTTTAAATGCTCTGACATACTGTTCTTAATTCATTGCATTAAATAGTAGGCCACATATGTTTTTTGAGGGTTAGTTTTTCCTGTACATTGTTAATTCAGCTTTATTTTCTATACTTTATATTTTTGCAGACTGGATTCTAATATGTACAATGATGCTCCAGAATTTTAAAAATAACTTACATAATAAAGCATTTCCCACTTGTAGTTTCTTGCTGAGTTTTGTAGTAGCCATTGTCCTTAATTCATCACATAAGATCCCAATAAAGATCCTGACCCTTTTTTTGTGGAAAAGAACAGAATGCCAAGAATGCTGCTAATATGCCACTCATTTAAAAATAATTAAAATCAGAGTGTGTTTTCATAATAAAACCATCAGCAACATGGAAAAACTGTTTCTGATGAAGGCAGTACATGAAGTAGGGAAAACATCAGCTAAGGTCTACAGCTATCATAATTACCCTAATAATTACCCTATTCTACATGCCCTGGGCACTTAACAATTTGTTATATTATTTTCTATTTATTAATTTGTTGGTTTTCACTGTTCCACAATTCCATACATTCCTCCATTCCTCTTTTGTCATCTTAACTACTTCATATTCTCTACAGGGCAGGACCCTATCTTTAAGGGTGTTTTTTTTTAATAGAGTAAATTAACATTTCATGAAGGTGAACTGAAGACTATCAAAATAATCATTTCTATGTGAAGGGAATTATTAACACCACAAAGAAATATAATTTAATTTGAGTCAAAGTAACAAAATATGATTCTAAACTTATGATACTCTTTAAGATGTGTGTCTCTTTAAGAGCAAGATCAACAGGACTAAACTATCAACAAACTCAGTTTTTCATGGAAAAATCTCGAGGAACAAAATGTTTATTAATTTTATAAAGGTAAATTCTGGCATGCTATTTCACAGTAAGGTGACTATAACAACAACGTGTTATAGAAGAAAGGATTTTGAAAGTTTTCACCATAAAGAAATGTTAAATATTTGAGAAGATATGTATTACCCTGATTTAAACATTACACAAGATAGACATATCAAAATACCCTATGGTACTTCATAAGTGTTTATAATTCTTATAATTTTATGTATCAGTTAAAACATAAATTTGAATTTAAAAAGTAAAAAGAAAAAAAAAATCATCTATAAAGGTGAAGTCTCAGACTGTGGGGGTAGTGTTTATTTCCTAGGCCTCTGATATAGAGTTTTAAAAGTGAAAATAGAGTACAAACACCTTATTGTCATGTCTTATGGCCCAGAGTGTCAAATTGGCTTCCTAGGAAGTCATCAGAGTGTTTATTTGTGGGTTATGTAAGTTGTTATTCAGGCTATTAGTCCTTAATCAGCACCCTAAGAAGAATGGTTTTACTACATAGTTTGTCTTTATGTATTAGACTTATCTATGATTATTTTCAAACTATTGTAGATTCATTTTTTGAATCTAGAAAATATAGACTAAAGCTTTTTACACTACAGGTAACCAGGGCATAGAAAGAGTGATAGGCTCTCTGCAGCTGTCGAACTGTGAATGGGACTCTACCAGATACAAATGTTATCTTTTTTATTCTTTGTCTTATTTATAGGTATTATGCTTGTAAAATAGCAAAGTTGTTTTCTGTGATATTAATTCTTGGTGACTTACAACTAGTGAAGTAGGAAGAAATTTAACATTAGTCCTGCATGGAAACAATTCAGAATAGAATTTCTACATGGCAGACAGATTTTTTAAATATTAACAATTGGAGGAGATAATATTAAATAATATATAATTACTACTCAATATTTCCCTAGGTATAGTGATAGCCTACTCGGATTTAACAGTGATGCTTCTAGAAGAAAGTGATGTTAGTTTGTCTATGGGAACAAGAAGATTCTGAAACGTGTGGTATCCACTCTTCTTGCTGAAGAAAGAAGTCAAAGTAACCTGGTTGTTGGAATTTCATTCGCTCACTGAAAATACAGACACAATAATGTCAGTAAGACCATCATGGGCATTCTTGGTCTTTTTTCCCCTAGAAGAGAAAACAACTCCTTTTCCTTGTCAATTTCTCTGGAACTTCCAGTAGCTTTTTTTTTTTCTCTGCTTAAATATCATCTTTTCTCTTAAGATAACCACCAGATTCAGCTAGCAATAAAACATGCCTCTCAAGACCCACAGAAAAGATGTATGGGTTCTATGGGTGGGTGTTTGATTTATAATTCAGACAGAATCTCTGGTGTGGACAATGATTGAAGTAAGGTCTTCTGATAATGGCCCAGAATAGTTTTGACAGTCCCCTACCCCATACTTCACCAAAGTACTTGCTGAATTTCCTGAAGCTGGGACAGCAATTAGGTCCATAAAAATGAAGTTCATTAATGAAAACTAATTGAAAATTAATTCACCATGACTCCAGGGAAGTGCTTGCATTTAAAATGTTGTGTTGTTAGCAAGCGAGTCTCTAATCATCAGAGCATGGCAAAATACTTCAGAATGACACACAGGTTAATGAGGTGGTGAAGCATCGGAAAAACAAAGTCTTGTAACATTAAAATACCCACCATGCTTAAAATGCTGCCATGCCCCTCCCTCTGGCTTCCCTTTCTGCCTCACTCTACCTTCTTATTTTATTATCATGAGTCAGAGCAGATGCCACATTATTATCCCACCCCTCAATAAATCTTTCCCAGAGAAGATTTTTTGCAATAATTCTCCAAGTTTTGATTACTAAATATGAACTTTGCAAGTGCCAGTTTATATACTACATACACCTTAAGGATTTCTCTCTGTTTTTTTTTTAAACATTTTAGAAAATTTCAAACACCCAAAGAGCTAATTCTATAGTGAAAACTCTCCTACCCCCAAATTCAACAGCTATCTACTAGAAACTATTTTAAATCACATTTCAGTAAAGTTGAAGGAACAAATATGTACTTAAGATACTTCATTTCTCACATGATATTGCATCATGATCTTAGCTAAGAAGTATTTACTAAAGGTATCATATGTACAAGAGTGAACATAAAGAGATAGGATATTTATCCTTTGAAAAATCTTTCTGTAGCT